TTTTTTAAAGTAAATGTACCAAACCTTATACCATTTAAAATATAAAACATGCTATTGGTAGTATCTTAGTCTGTTCAGGCTGTTCTAACAAAAATACCATAGATCTAATGGCTTACCAACAACAGGTACGTATTTCTTATGCTTCTAGAGGCTAGGAAGTCTAAGATCAAAGTACTGGCAGATTTGGTATTTAATGAGGGCTTGTTGAGTAATTCATAGATGATACCTTCAATGTCTTCACATGATAGAAGGGGCAAATGAGCTCTCCAGTCTCACTTATAAGAATGATAATCCAGGGCTCCGCCTGCAGTGCTGGCATCCCATATGGGCACCGGTTAGAGTACCAGCTGCTCCACTTCTGATTCAGTTCCCTGCTATGGCCTGGGAAAGCAGCAGCAGATCGCCCACGTCCTTGGGCCCCTGCACCTGCATGGGAGACCTGGAAGAAGCTCCTGGCTTCGGATCGGCACAGCTCCAGTTATTGCAGCCACTTGGGGAGTGAACCAGCAGATGGAAGACTTCCCTGAACCAGCAGAGGGAAGATTGTCTCTCTCTCTCTGCCTCTCCTTTTCTCGCTGTGTAACTCTTTCAAATAAACAAAAATTTTAAAAGAATGCTAATCCTTCAATGAGGACTTCACCTCATGAACTAATCACTTCCCAAGAGGCCTCACCTCCAACACTGTCAAAGGTTTCAGCAAAATTTTGAGGAATACAAACATTCAGTATATTGTATCCTCCTCCACCCTCCCTCCCACCTCAGCCAAATCATGTCCTTCTCACATGGAAAATACATTCATTCCACCCAAGTGGCCTGAAAGAGCTTGTTCCAGCATCAACTTTAAACAGATTTAAAGTCTCATCTAAACTTCATCTAAATCAGGTATGGGTAAGACTCAAGGTGTGATTCATCCTGACATAAATTCCTCTTCAGTTATGAACCGTAAAACCAAATACATGCTTCCAAAAAGAATTGTGAGTCAGGTGTAAGAGACATTCCCATTCAATATGAAGAAACAGGAAAGAAAGGGGAGACAGGTCCCAGATAAGTCCAAAATATATGGTGAACTACAGGAAATTGTAAGGTTGGAGAATAATCCTCTTTGGTTTCACGTGCTGTCTGCTTTTTTCTTTTTAAAGATTATTTATTTATTTGAAAGGCAGAGTTATAGAAAGACAGAGGGAAGGGCAGAGTGAGAGTGAGAGTGTGTGTGCGTGTGTGTGAGAGAGAGAGAGGTCTTCCATCCAGTGGTTCACTCCCCAAATGGGCGCAAGAGCCAGAGTTGGGCTGATCCAATGCCAGGAGCTAGCAGCTTCTTCCAGGTCTCCCACGTGGGTGCAGGGACCCAAGGGCTTGGGCCATCCTCAGCGTCCTTCCCAGGCCATAGCAGAGAGCTGAATGGGAAGTTGAGCAGCCAGGACTCCAAACAGTGCCAGACTCTCATGTGCTGTCTTCTAAGCTGCTGGGTCAAATGTCCAGCCTTCCGGACCCCCAAGGGTGGAGGTGCTGCCCTGAACTTGTCCTCAGAAGAGCTCTTGCCCTCAGGGCTGTGCCAGGTAGTCCTGCTTCAAAGGCTCTGGGTGATGTCTTCTGGCCTGTTAAACAAGGTAACAGGACCCCCTTTGGAAACTAAGGAGGAAGTCTCATGATCTCTGAATTGAGTTCAGGGTTATTCTTTCCTGGTCTTGAAGAGCAGCACAAGTTCTCAGCCAATAGCTCTATGGTCCTGTAGTTAATGCATTTTTATGCATTACAAGTAATAGTATCTGTTCCCTAAGGTTATTTTCTCCCTTATCAGCTCAGTAATGCACAGACATTGAATTGAGTTAATGTGATAATTTTTTACCAATATTTGGGTCTGGTAACTTTTCCTGTTCTTTGTAAATTTTGGATCCAGACAAATATGGGTCCAGAGATTTAACATTTATTAGGAAAACAATTTAATCACTAAAGGGTAATCATTCTTACACACAGGAGATATTAGTATTTGGGAGAAGAGATTCTCTATTTAAAACAGTGATGTGACATTCACATCATGCAATACTAATCCATAATAAAAAGGAAGAAGTGACATCTGTTGATATTGATATACTAACACCTTAGATGGATCTAAAGAACTTTAAGCTAGGTGAAAAAAGCTGATCCCAAAAGTTACATAAGTCTATGATTCCATTTCTGTAACACTCTTTAAGTGATTTAAGTATAGACACAGAACAGATTGGTGATTGCCAGAAAGAAGAGGAAGAAGGCGGACTGGCCCAACTGTAAATGTAAGGTACTATAGAGGGCTAGTATAATAAAAGGATGGCACAAAGGACACAAACAGATACTAGTGCATAAAGAGACTGGTGAAATCTGAGGAAGCTCTGTACTCTAGCGAGTAATATTTTACAGATGCCAATTTCCTGGTTTTGATATTGTACTACAGTTATTTAAGATGTTAGCATTGGAGGAGTCAGGGTGAAGGGGTGAAGGGTACACAGGACTGCTACATCTGCAATTTCAATGAATGTATAATTATGTCAAAACAAAGTCTTCAAGAAAAAAACAAACATAGAAAATACAAACTCATTGAATACTTCCTTTTTTGGGGGAAAAAAAACCTACTGATGACTGTGCATGGTTACACAGGGTCCCTCTTTTAACTCTCACAACTCTCAGAAATAGATGTTACAGAGACAAGTCTTGTGTAAGACCCTCTTGGGATGCCCACATCCCATACCAGAGGACTGGTTCCAGTCCTGTCCCCCCCCCCCCCCCCCGTTGTGGCTCCCTGTGGAGTGAACCAGCAGATGGAAAAATCTTCTCAGCCCATCACTTTCTTTTTCAGATAAATACATCTTTACATTTGATCTTAGCGATTAGATAACTAAATCACTTTAAAAAAAAAAAAGATGTTTTGAATTCTATCTTTATATTTGCCAAAATTGAGGCTCATGTTAAGTAATTTGTCCAAGGCACACAGTTAGAACCACAGGTTGAATCCAGAACAATCTAAATCCCACTCATGGTATTCTGAATGAATCCTGATGTCGCTGTTCTTTCCTATATATATTTCTCTTTAACAAACATTAGGGGACTTTACATTTGTCATTTTCTCTCTCTCTCTTTTTTTTTACAGGCTTATTTATTTATTTGAAAGGTGGAGTTGCAGTGAGGCAGAAGGAGAGACAGAGAGAGAGAGAAAAAGTCTTCCATCTGCTGGTTCATTCCCCAAATGGGCACAATGACCACAGCTGGGCTGATCCAAAACCAGGAGCCAAAAACTTCCAGGTCTCCCATGTGGGTACAGGGGCCCAACGACTTGGGCCATCTTCTACTGTCTTCCCAGGCCATAGCAGAGAGTTGGATGCAAAATGAAGCAGCTGGGACTTCAACAGCAGCCCATATGGGATGCCAGCACTGCAGGTGGGGGCTTCACCGAAAAAACCACAGAGCCACCCACTTTCTTTGCTTTAAAAAAAAAAAAACCTTTTAACAAAAAACAGAGGCTGGTGCTATGGCGTAGGTTAAGCTGTGGTGCCAGCATCCCATTGAGGTGCCACTTCTAGTCTCGGAGACTCCATTTCTGATCCAGCTCCCTGATAATGTGCCCGGGAAAGCAGTGGAAGATGGCCCAAGTACTTGGGCCCCTGCACTCACATGGGAGACCTGGAAGACGTTCCTGGCTCCTGATCAGCCCAGTTTTGGCCTGGATGGAAGACCTCTCTCTCCCCCCCTTCTCCCTGTCCTTAAGTCTGCCTCTCAAATAAGTAATCTTTAAACCAAACAAAAGGACTTTCAAATGTCTGTCCAGAAAAACAGGTAAGTACTTGGAGGAACCGGCTGCACAAGGAAATATAAATGTAAGGTCAGCCTATGCACAGAATAACAATCATAAATGCAAATTTTAAAGTGGAGGAAAAATATTGTTAGTAGTGATGTCTGATAACTATTTCCGTAATCTGAGGATCAATAAAGTTCTTGGAAACCCTGTCTCTTGGGCACCATTGGAATTTTTTTTAAAGAGTTTTTATTTATTTTTTTATTAGAAAGGCAGAAGCAAAGAGAAAGAGAGAAACAGAAAGAGAGGTCTTCCATTCACCGGTTTACTCCCCAAAAGGCTGCAACAGCCAGAGCTGGGCCGATCCGAAGCCAGCAGCCACCTGCTTCCTCCGGGTCTCCCACGTGGATGCAGGGGCCCAAGGACTTAGGCCATCTTGCACTGCTTTCTCAGGTCATAGAAGAAAGCTGGCTCGGAAGTTGAGCAGCCGGACTCGAACCGGCGGCCACATGGGATGCCGGCACAGCAGGCGGTGGCTTTACCGGCTACACCACAGCACCGGTCCCGCATCATTTAAATACTAAATCTCATTGCTCAGGGTTTGCAGTTCCAAGGGCTTGCAACAATTTGCAAAGATTCCTAAAAAAGGAATCACTTAAAATGAATAAATGATACCATCAGAGTGGTGGTTTACAAGACGTTTCAAGCAACACAAAAACAGAGGGACATAATGAGTCTCAGAATTCATCCTAACCGCCCAACTAATTGGATACCAAGGCTTCTCACACCCCACCGGAAAAACGGACCGCAGGGAAACCTAGCACCTCTTAACCGTTTCATTCATCCCCTCAATACGAGTTCGTGGGGGGACGGAATGCGTGCAACTTCTCCGCATAGCCAGGCCTTTTTCTATTCTTTCGGGGATACAAAATGACCTTGCCTCCTGATATGGAAACTTCGTAAATTTCATTCTCCTCTCCGTTTCTGCTTGGCCCACGAAAGCAGCAACATCACATAATTCCCAGCTTGCAGTACTGGGCACTGTCTCTCGCAGCATAATCACCGACTCTCCTGTCGGCACTCTTCCGGTTTCATAAGGCAAACGGTAAAATCCTCAGGCCGCCAAGCCAGCTTGGCGTTAAGCAAGGTCACGTGACAGCGCAGACCCAATGACCGAGGCCCACGCTCTCCAGACGGCCGCATGCGCTCACAGTGCTGGAGCGCGCGCGGCGCCCCGCCCCCGGCCTCACAGTGCGCCGGCGTTAACCCTCCCCGGAGATCTCGGCCACCGGGATTGCGGGTTCCCACAAAGCGTTGTTTCCGAACTCGACCACGGGAGCGTGTCCTGATTGGCTTGCTCTGGAGGTGGGGAAGGGACCTATTTGAGACCGGGACCACTTCCTGAAGCGCGAGGCAGGAAGTTATCTGGTATCTCTGGAGCCCTGTGGAGGGAGAAAGGCTCCCTGCCGCATTGGTGGCGGGAGGTGGGTTGGGAGACTGGCCGCTCGGTCCCGCTGGAGTTAGGAGCCGTTTTCCAACGCAGCACCACGGCCCCCTTCTCCAGCACCGAGCCCGGCGCGGCTGCCCGGGGGGCTCCTTCCGGCTCCTTGACGCCGCCGCAGGGGGCGGCTACCCAGGCATCGCCTGGGCCACCAGCTAGGGGACTGGCAGCCGGTTTCAGCACCCTGGGCCACAGTAAGACGTGCCCTTGTTGTCCCGCGCATTGCCTTCCTTCTTTAAGCCACCGAGACCCTGGTCCAGAGCGACTGCCTTGGACCTGGGACTAGACGGATCCAAAACGCTCGGCCCCGGCCCCCCGCAGACGGGGCTCTGCATCGTCTCTGATATGTCACCCACCGTCTCCCACAAGGACAGCAGCCGGCAACGGCGGCCGGGCACTTTCAACCACTCTCTGGATATGAAGAGCGGTCCTCTGCCGCCGGGCGGCTGGGATGACAGCCGTCTGGACTCGGTGGGCGGGGAAGGGGATCGAGAAGCTCTTCTGAGTGAAAGTGGCGTTGGGGACTTCTCAAAAGCCCCGCGGAGCTGCCGGGCCGAGCTAAGCAGCATTTTGCTACTGCTCTTTCTTTACGTGCTCCAGGGTATTCCCTTGGGTCTCGCGGGAAGCATCCCACTCATTTTGCAGAGCAAAAATGTCAGCTATACAGACCAAGCTTTCTTCAGTTTTGTCTTCTGGCCCTTCAGTCTCAAACTGCTCTGGGCCCCGATGGTCGACGCGGTCTACTTTAAGAACTTCGGTCGTCGCAAGTCCTGGCTCGTCCCTACGCAGTACATACTAGGATTCTTCATGATTTATCTATCCACTCAGGTGGACCGGATGCTCGGGAACACCGATGGCAGAACACCCGATGTGGTCGCTCTCACTGTGACGTTCTTTTTGTTTGAGTTCCTGGCCGCCACTCAGGACATCGCTGTGGATGGTTGGGCGTTAACTATGTTATCCCGGGAAAACGTGGGTTATGCTTCTACATGCAATTCAGTGGGCCAGACAGCGGGCTACTTTTTGGGCAATGTTTTGTTTTTGGCCCTTGAATCTGCCGACTTTTGTAACAAATATTTGCGATTTCAGCCTCAACCCAGGGGGATCGTTACCCTTTCAGGTAGTGTATTTGAATTATTCTGACGCTTTTTTACATGTATGAATCCTTTTGAAAGCATGTGATATTGGAGGGAAGTTCATTACTTAATCCTCACAGGAGATCCTGTTATGCGAGGTGCCTGGGGTGGCTTTCCCTTGTTGTTAAAGCCAAAATGACTATATGGGGGCGGTTATATTTGATACTCTGCAGAGAACAGCAGGGACAGCCCATCAGATAAGGAAATTCTGAGTCTAGGAATCCAGGGGTATTGGCTTAAAGCATAGATGCATTTTTTTTTTTAAGCGGTTCATTTGGTTCCCATTTTCCCTTTCCTGTTTCATTGAATTGAGATTTCTAACTTTATAGTTTCTGATCCATTTCTACTGCTCTTATGGGCAAGAGTCCTCAGCTAGCCCTGTAGTGAGTGGAACAGGGCTTATTCATTCAAGGATAATTGAGTTGGCTAAGTGACAGGAGTCTAAGGGCCTTCTATGAATACGGGCTCCACCCACAAAGTAGGAGGAGCCGAACGCTGAGTCCACAGTGCCCAGCCTTAACTGCCTGTGGGAGCCAGGCTCCACGTTGCAGGTAGCAATGTTCTTGAGTGATAGATTCCATGAGGCTGAGATGTGGCATTTTCTGGCTCATTTTCACCATTTGAGAATGCACTAGGGAAAAGTACAAACAGGTACAGGACTTTATCTACAATGTTCAGAGTGCCTGAAGCAATAATTGTGGAACTGAGTTTGGCAAATGATGCTTAAAGAAAGAAGGTTGTGGTCAAATTAGTAAGATGTTTCTTTAACTGGAATTTAAAGTTTATCCTGTAAGAAGTTGGGTGTAATTTCTGCAAAATTTCTTCTTTTTTTTTGCATGAGTAAAAAAATACCTGTAATTATTTCTGGGGGCTTTTGTGTGCATGTGTGTCACTTTCCTAACTAGAAACAGAAATAAAATGACCAATATCAAGAATAACAATATCAGGATATAGTAGAGTTCTTAATTCTATTAGTAATAATGAATGTAGGTGATTTTGTTTGGAAATTTAAGTAATTAAACTTACTCTCACTTTTCCTACCTATCTGCAGATTGCTAACAGGGTAACTGTTAGCAAGACATTGGTATTGGTGGGATAAATTATATGGGAGTGGGCTGGGAGGAGCATATCACGAATATACTACACACCTCCTGGAATCTTATACATCCTCACACACACCTAATCCCTGTATACTTCCTCAAATTGCTACTTATTATTACTGATGAAATAATGGTTATGCTTCTTCAATTTGTGTGTCAGGGGAATGAGAGAGAACTGCTTTGCACCTAGACAGATTTGTTTTTGAGTATTCTGGTGTTGCACTCCTGCTTTCTGGATAATTCTCTGCCTAGAAATACTGTGTGACTGCATACTGTGGGTCCTTTGTTGCCGTTTTATGTCTGATTTTCATTTTATCCTGGGACTGCTGTTCCTATCACCAAGGATGATTAATGAGATGTTGCGTTACTTAAGATATGAAACTCTCAAAGAAATCAAGATTGAAGAGGCCATGGTAATAACTTGCTAATTGGAAGTTAGAATTTTATCTTAACAATTATGTAAGAGTGATTGCTAAAACATTCCTGAGAATTCCATGATGAGCTCATGAGCTGTTATATCTTTACTCCTCTAGCCACAACTATTCCCCAGTGGATCAAAATTATGCCATTGGATTTTTATTTAGATTGACTTGTTATTTTGCATAGCTGTGAAAATACTTGTGGAATTTGAGCTTTGTTTTCCAGGAGATTCTAAAATTAGCTTACTTTTTAATACGACTTTTTGTATCTATAATGAATTCTGGTTTTCATTCAAACATTGTAGTTAAGAATTAAAGAATTTTTGTGTCTTCATTTTTTAAAAATATTTTTTCTGATTTATTTGAAAGAGTGATGAAAGAGGGAGATACACACACACACACACAGATATCTTCCATCTGCTGGTGGTTCACTCCCCAGATGATTGTAATGGCCATGTCTGAACCAGGGGCCAGGAACTCCACAGAGTCTCCCACCTGGGTGGCAGGGGACCAAGCATTTGGGTCATCTTGTGCTGCCTTCCCAGGAGCAGGAAGCTGGACTGGCAGTAGAGTAGCCTGGATGTGAACCAGCCCTCCAATATGGAATGCCAGAATCACAAGTGGCAGCTTAATCCATTACACCACAACACCAGCCCCTTGTTCTTTTTCTTACTGCACATACCACAGATATAGCCTTGTGCTTTCTGGAACTTAGTAAAACTAAGAAAAAACAGTGATTTTTGAGTGAGTAACATATGCAGGAAATAAAATTGGGTAATTAAAGACGACTAATTGCTGATGCAATGTTTAGAAAATCAGAATGTTAAGACATAATTTTTAAAAATTCTCATGTGTGTTCTGTGATTACTTTGTTTTGAGTGTTAGAGATAAAAAATATTGAGGAAGAACAGTTTTTGACATTGAGAAATCAGTACTGTAAATAGTAAATTTAAAATGAACAGGAGGAGTAGGATGAGTAGAATCCCTTAGAAACAAAAATTTGATTGTGCTTAGATTGGATTTTTCATATTTTCAGGCAGTCCTGAACTCAGAAGTAAGCCTTTTCTGTTCTCAGAGCCTTTGTTTCAAGGATGTCTGATAGCAGAGAGAGACCTTTTAAGATGCAAGAAATGATTAAAGTAACCTAGAAGAATATAGAGATTAAAACAATTTTATTACTTTAAAGGATTATATATTTTTTAAAAAAGATTGTATTTTTTTTATTCATTGTTATAGATGAGGTGAATGAGGTCAAGTGACTAGTTTAGGTAGATATATTTCTACAGCTTAGGTTTCCTGACTCCTTATGTCATAATTTTCCTGTGGCTTTTAGGAAACCAGAAAAGCCTTGAGATCTAATTATAATATGTTTGATAGGGTTTTCTGCCTAAAAAAAGTAGTACTGTGACTGCTGACATCTTAAAAAGCATCAGCTCACTCCTGAATGCCTGATTCTTAGAAGTGACACATTAAATATTTTTATTATTTTTTTGAGGCGCACACACACACACACACACACACACAGAGAGCGCTCTCTCATCCTCGGGCTCATTCCCCAGATAGCTGAGTCTGGGCCTGGGGCTGAAGCCAGAAGCTGGAAACTCAGTACAGGGCCCCCAACATGGGTGGCAGGAACTCAGACACTTGAGTCATTACCACTGCTTCCTAGGATCTCTCTTAAGAGCTAGGGGGAAAAAAAAAAAGAATCAAGAGCTAGAGCCAGAAGTCAAATCCAGGCACTCTGATGTGGAATGTGAACATCCTAACTGCTGGGCCAAACATACCTCTCTATTTCAGTTTTGCAAATGACCTGTGTCATTCATTCTCAGGTGTGAATGCCTATTTGGTGCTAGTCTTGTGATAGCTGTAAAAATTTAAGGGAATTCTCTACTCTCAAAGAGCTTAATTGCCTCTAACAGGTATTTGCAAAGCAAAATGACCAAGTAGGTAAATGGGTAATGTAAATGAGTCAGTTGAGTTGGTGCTCAACTGAAGGGATTGGAGGAGGTTTCCCAGTGATGACCTGGGAAACCTGTGCTCCAAGGCGAAAACTTCAACTAGATCTTTTCAGTATTGAACAGAAGCTAGAAATTCCTTACTTATTTCCCTGTTTTTAAAAAGAAACAGTATTTTAAAAATAAACTGGCACAGAGGGTTAAACTGCTGCCTGCAATGCCGGCATTCCATATCAGAGAGCCTGCTGAGTCTCAGCTGCTCTGCTTTAGGTTCAGTTTTTTTGTTTGTTTGTTTGTGTGGTTTTTTTGTTTGTTTGTTTTGTTTTTTTTTTTTGTTTTTTTTTTTTTGTTTTTTTTTGTTTTTTGTAATGTATCCAGGAAAGCAGCAAAGGATGGCTCAAGTACTTGGGCCCTGGCTGGCGTTGTAGGAGATCTGGTTGGAGTTCCAGGCTCCTGGCTTCTGCCTGGCCCAGCCCTAGCCATTATAGCCATTTGAGGAATGAACCAGTGGATAGAAGATGCTCTCTCTCTCCTTCTCTCCCTCTCTCCCTCCCTTCCACTCTCCGTCTCTCCCTGGCTCCCTCTCTTGCCCTCTCTCTTTCTCTCTCTGCCTTTCAAATAAATACAACATATCTTAAATAAATAAAAATAAGCATTCATTAGGTACATATATTTAGAATACAAGCAGCCTGTGACCTGGTATTTGAGACCCTCACTTTAGAAGCGGTAGTAACAACCATTAGAAGCAATTGGGATGAGGGGCAGGATAGCCTCTTCAGAGAAGAGAGCTAAAAATATTAGTACTTATAAATCAGTTGTTGATAAATAGGCATGCACATAGATGAGTTCATCAGAGAAAAAGAGGGTATGTTCCTTTGAAAAAATTGATGCTTTCAGTATCAGTTTTATCAAATTTGTGATGACAGTGAAAACAGGGGCTGCTGTTGTATTGTGCTGTAGCAGGTAAAGCTGGCATCGTTTCATGTTCCAGCTGCTGGCCTGAGAAAAGCCGCAGAAGATGGCCCAAGTGCCTGGGCCTCTATACGAATGTGGAAAACCTGGAAGAAGCTCCTGGGTTCATCCTGGCCCATCTGGGCCTTAGCAGCTATCTGGGGAGTGCACAAGTGGATGGAAGATCTCTTTCTCTAACTCTTTCAAACAAGTTAATTAATTGTTAGGAAAAAACGTGAAAAACAGTACTATTTCTAAAACATTAATGCCTTTAACTAGGAAGAGAGTAGGACTATTGATTCCTTTTTTTTTTTTTTGAAAGGCACAGTTACAGGGGGAGAGAGAGATCAAGATGGAGATGGAGATGGAGATGGAGATGGAGATGGAGATGGAGATCTTCCATCCTCTAGTTCATTCTCCAAATGGCTGCAACAGCCGGGACTGGACCAGTCCAAAGCCAGGAGCCCGGAACTTCTTCCGGATCTCCCATAAGGGTGCAGAGGCCCAAGGACTTGGGCCATCCTCTGTCGTCTTCCCAGGCTCATTAGCAGCACACTGGATTGGAAGTAGAGCAGCCGATTCTTGAATTGTCACCCATATGGGATGCCAGCGTCAAAAGCAGAGGCTTAACCTACTAGATAACAACATCATTCCACATGTCTTTGCCTTGCTTTCAGAAGCAGTACTCCTTAATTATGTGACTAGAAACACTTTTTGGAATTTGGGCAGGACTATTTGACCCATTTCTTGACAGACCAATTATACAGGCTGTAATGTATTTTTTTTTTTTAAAGATTTTATTTATTTATTTGAGAGGTAGAGTTACAGACAGTGAGAGGGAGAGACAGAGAGAGAGAGAGAGGTCTTCTATCTGCTCGTTTACTCTCCAGATGTCTGCAACAGCTAAAGCTGAGCCTATATGAAGCCAGGAGCCAGGAGCTTTTTCTGGATCTCCCACATGGGTGCAGGGGTCCAAGCGCTTGGGCCAACTTCCACTGCTTTCCCAGGCCATAGCAGAGAGCTGGACCTAAAGAGGAGCAGCTGGGACTAGAGCTGGTCCTCATATGGGATGCTGGTGCCGCAGGCAGAAGATTAACCTATTGTGCCACAGTGCCAGCCCCTATAATATATTCTTTAGCATCCATATTTAGACTTTAAAACATTACCTGACATCTTCAAAAAGATAAAACTGTAGTTGCTATTGACTGGTAGGGAGCGTGGGGGATAAGGTAGGCATCCCAAGCAGTAGCTTAACCCACTGCCACAACATGTTCACCAGAGACACATTTCTTTTTCCTAACACAATCTTAGAGCTGATTTTAAAATTTCTCATTAATTTTAAAAAATTATTTTAACATGATTATAGACGCACAGGAGATTGCAAAGAAATGTTCGGGGAAGTCTTGTGTACCATGCTATCAGCCTCCTTTTGTCAACATATTATACACATCTAGTATGATATCAAAACTGAGAAACTAATGTGGGAACAATCCATAGAGATTTTTACATTTTGCTAGTTAAATATATACTCATTTGTGCGCATGTGTGTTTGTAGTTCTGTGCAATTTCATCACCAATGTAGCCTTGCATAACCAACACCACAGTCGGGGCTATCCAACTGTTCAAGCACCTTCAGATCGCTTTGCATTGGCATCTATAATTATACCTATCTCCTTATCCCCATCCCTAAACCCTGGCTGACACAAGTCTGTGTTTTGTCTTTATAATTATCCCATTTCAGAAATATTACATAAATGAAATTATGCAGTATATCCTTTGGAAATTGGCTCTTTTCATTCAGCCTAATTTCTTTGAGGTTCATCCAAGTTGTTGCATGTATGAATGGTTTGTTCCTTTTTACTTGCTAAGATTTTTACATTTGTTAGATATACCATAGTTTATTTAACCAGACTTCTACTGAGGGAGATCTGTATGGCTTTCAGTTTTTAAAGCTTACTACTATGTGAAAATAAGTTTTCATTTTTTTGGCATTAATGCCCAAGAGTACAAATGCTCAGCTGTATGGTAAGCTGACTTTTAGTATTTAATGGAACTGTCTAACTGTTTACCAGAATGACTTATCTTGCTACCAGCAATTGTTCGTCTTCTGTCCCTAGTATGGTGTTTGGAATAAAACAGATATGTACATATATGGCACTTTGAATAAAACAGATATACACTTAAATGTAGATTTTTCTTTTCTTTTAGTTGAGAAGTTTTAAATAGAATTGTTTAGTATCATTGGAGTTATGTCATTTCAGAAGTTAATTATAGATTTAAAACATTCTTAATTTCAGATTTTCTTTTTTTCTGGGGAACTGTATTTTTAATAACAACAACATTAGTTGCCCTTCTGAAAAAAGAAAACAAAGAAGTATCAGTTGTAAAAGAAGAAACACAAGGGATCACAGATACTTACAAGCTGCTTTTTTCAATTATAAAAATGCCAGCAGTTCTGACATTTTGCCTTCTGATTCTTACTGCAAAGGTAAGAGAGATTCATAAAGCAAATTTACCATTGTTACTATTACCATATAGAACCCTTTTATGCCTTTTCATTTAAGTTCCTTTCCACTATTGTTAGAATTTAACAGTGAAAAACATTATTTTCTGCTTATTAAAAGTATTTTGAAAGGTGTAATATATCAAATATAATTTCTAAGTTGAATGTCTTGAAATCTTGAAAAGATTATATCAGTTTAAATGTATAATTTTAATTAATGACTAAAAAATAGTAGCTTTCTACTGTTATAGTAAATATACAGTAAATATACATTTAGTGTTGGGTAGTAAAATTATTATCTCAGAATGTTGCGCTTACAAGAATATGGAAGTGTATTAGAAGTTTCTTTAAAAATGATTTTTTAAAATGCTAAAAGGAAATATACCATAAAATAAATGAGGGTTACTGTTTACTTTTATTTCATGTTAATATATCCCAATTTTATAGTTCTAAAATATTTTTAAGATTTTATACTAGAATGAAGGTAAGTATATTTTGGTACAATGAACTGCATGTTAATGTTACAATATTCCAAAAATCTAAAGTCTTATAGGATATCTTATATATTTAAATACTTCATGCTTTTGTTTAACAGCTCTGAAGGGAACATAGTATCATTGTTTTCATTTTAAACTGAGCTTTTCCTTTTCTGAATGATAAGGAGAGAAAGTTCAGAAAAATGCTGAAAGACTCAAGGAAGATAATATCTAATTGCATCATTTAGAAATAAACATCATTAATACTTTCGGTATATTTCCTTTATGTCCTTTTTTCCTTATGTGCTTAATATGCATTTACACAGATGCATATGTATTTAAATAGATGCACATTAAGTAGATAATGCTGTATATAATTTTTTATTCCAAACATATTCCTATATCTTTAAATATTATTTGAAAGTATACTTTGAATTATTGGATCATAGGAAATACATAGTATATGCTGGCAAACAGCTTTCCAAAGTGATTGTTCCAATTTTTCCTACCACAAGCAGTGCAAGAGAGTTCTAATTGCTTCACATCCTTGAAAACACATGTATTATTTTAGCTTTCCTGGTGGGTGTGTTTTGGCATCTTGTTAGGTTATAAACTGTACTTCCCTGATGACTGAAATACATGAGCATCTTTTTTTATTTTTTTAAGATTTGTTTATTTATTGGAAAAGCAGAGTTACAGGGGCAGAAGCAGAGAGAAAGAGGTCTTCCATCTGCTGGTTCACTCCCCAAATGGCCACAATGGCTGGAGCTCAGCTGATCTGGAGCCAGGAGCTTCTTCCAGGTCTCCCAGGCAGGTGCAGGTGTTCAAGGACCTAGGCCATTCTCTACTGCCCTCCTAGGTCATAGCAGAGAGCTGGATTGGAAGTGGAACAGTTAAGACTTGAACCGGCACCCATATGGGAAGCTTAGCACTGTAGGTGGTAACTTTACCTGCTATGCTACAGCACTGGCCCTGATGAGCATCTTTTTATATGATTATTAGTCGAATAGCCAGAGTTGCCTTTTTCTTTAAATTTATAATATGTATGTTTTGTTAGATATGTATATTAAAATATCTCTTACTACACAACTTTTAAGACAGTAAATTTTGAAGTCAATTTGTATGTCTCAGTTTTACAAAGACAGTAAATAAAATATAAGTGAAATTATTTTTTGGATTCAAGTGAAGTAGATGATTTCTGAAAAATTTTAATGGTAAAATTTGCTCCTTGATTCCATTCTAAGGAAGGAAATCATATAGTATTTCTGATTTTTTAAATACATATTTATGTGATGTACTATCAGAACTCTCATATATCCTTTACCCAGATTCTCTAATTTTTAACAGCTCCACTTTCTGTCAAGTTGTTCTGTCTGTATGTATTACATATTTCTGATTAAATCTGTCAGAATAATTTGTACGTGTGTATTTTTATCCATAAATATTTTAAATATGTATACCCTAAGAAAAAGACTTCCTTTTATAAACAATTGAGTTTTAAAAATCTGAGGCCAGGTTGTGGCATAGCAGGTTAAGACACAGTTTGCCACACCAGCATATCCCATATCAGAATTCCAACTGGCATCCTGACTACTTTGCTTCTGATCCAGCTTTGTGCTGATGCACCTGGGAAGGCAGTGGAAAATGTCCAAAGTTCCTGGGCCTCTGCCATCCTGTGGGAGATCAGGGTGGAGTTTGTGGCTTCAGCCTGGCCCAACCCTGTCTGTTGTGGGTATTTAAGGAGTGAACCGGCAGGTGGAAGATCTCTTGGTATCTGTCTCTCCTGTCCCTGTTGCTCTGCCTTTCAAGTACATATATCTTTAAAATATATATAATAAGTAATCTAGAAATTTTAAATCAATGCAATGTTATTATCTAATCACAGTTCAACCAAATTTAACCAATTTTCCCACAACAGCCTTTATAACTTTTTCCTGCTTTGGGAACCAATCCAAGATCACACCATTGCATTTGTTAAGAGTCTTTTTCTTTCATAACCTTGACATTTTTTGAAGAATACAGACCAATTATTCTATAGAATGTCTTTCAGTTCATGTTTTGGTTCAAATCATGCATATAAAGCAGGAATACTATAGAAGTAATATTTTAATATCTATAGTGAATTATGTCAGAAGTCATATCATGTCCCTTTGTCTGTTGTTTTTAACTTGACTTTGTTAATCCGTTTTAAAGCTACCATTTTTGCTTTTGTAATTAAAAATTAATTTTTCAGGAGTTACTTTGAATATCTTATTTTGCTTCAAACTTTTATCTACTACTTTTAGTATCCTTATATTGTTTTGATTTTAAGTTCATCTAGGGGTGCCCATTGTGGCGCAGTGTTGTAAACTGCCACCTGTAAAGCTGGCATCCCATATGAGCACTGGTTGGAGTACCTGCTGCTCTGCTTCCAATCCAGCTCCTCACTTATGTGACTGGGAAAGCAGCAGCAGATGTCCCAAGTGTTTGGGACTCCTGCCAACCACATGGGAGACCCTGATGGAGTTTCAGGCTCTTGGCTTCCTCCCTGCCTAGTCCCTGCTGTTGTGCCTACGTGGGGAGTAAACCAGCGGGTGGAAGATTCTTTCTCTCTCTCCCTCCCTCCCTCCCTCTTTCTCTCTCTCTCCCTCTCTCCCTCTCCCTCTCCCTCCCCCCTCTCTCTTTCCCTCTTCCTCTATCCCTCTCTCTCTCTTCCTCTCTCTCTCCCTCTCTCTCTTTCCCTCTCTCCCCCTCTCCCCCTCTCTCCCTCTCTTTCCCTCTCTTCCTCTATCCCTCTCTCTCTCCCTCTCTTCCCCCTCTCTCTTTCTCCCTCTCTCTCTCCTTCTCTCTCTCCCCCTTTCTCCCTCTCTCTCTCCCTCTCTCTCTCTCCCTCTCTCTCTTTCCCTCTGTCTCTCCCTCTCTCTCCCTTTCTTTCTCCCCCTCCCTCTCCCACCTCCCCTCCATCCCCCCATCTGTAACTGACTTTCAAATTTAAAATGAAAATCTAACTATCCCTTTTTTCAGACTCATTTTACTCACCCTGAAGATACAGTGTTTTCCCAGAATTACTTTTTTTTTAAATGATTATGCTACCATTTGCTAGGTAATAGTGGCTTTTTAAAAAGACATTAATTTATCTACTTATAAGGCAGAAAGATCTTTCGCCTGATAGTTCATTCCTCAAATGCCCACAACAGCCAGACTGAAGCCAGGAGCTCCATTTGTGTCTCCCATGTGGTTGAAAGGAACCTAAGTACTTGGGTCATCATCTACTGTCTCCCAGGATGCATTAGCAGGAAGATGGATTGGTAGCAGAGGCAGGACTCAATCCCAGGCACTCCAGTATGGGATGCAGGTGTCATCCCAAGTGACTGCTTAACCCTTTGTACCACAGTGCCTGCCCCTAATAGTGGCTTTTTTTAAAAAGCGTATTAATTTCAGAGGCAGAGAAAGAGCTCCCATCTACTAGTTTACTCCTAAAATGTTTGCAATAGCTAGAGCTGGGTCAAGCTAAAACCAGGAGTCAGGAAAGAGTCCTACATGAGTGGTAGGAAACCAATCACTTGAGCCATCACCACTGTCTCCCAGAGTCTGCATTAGCAGGAAGCTGAAGTCAGTTGTCAGAGCCAGGTATCTAGCCCAGTACTCTGATATGGGATGTGAGCATCTTACCTTATGTCTTAACCACTAGGCTAAATGCCCACTCCCAGAATTACTTGTGAAGCTTTAGATGGCCTTAGGAAATTTTATTATGATCTGTGCAGAACCATCAAAAATGTGTCTGTGTGTCAGTGATGCTTCATTTTAGCCAGATTTAGTTGAAGTCAACTGAAGGCTTTGTTTTAAACTTAATACAAATTGATAAATGTGGATGTTTGCCAATGTTTATTGTACTAACCGGTTTGACTTTTTTGAAGTAGAAATTTGTTAAGATACAGTGAGACTGCTGATTCACTTTCCTAATGCCTAGAATAACCAGAGCTGGATCAGGCTAAAGCCAGGATCCCAGAACTTAATCCAGGTTTCCTTTGTGGGTGGCAGGGACGCAAGTACTTAAGCCATCATCTTCTGCCTCCCAGGGTATCCATTGGCAAGGAAGCAGGATTGAAAGTGAAGTAGCTGAACCTTGTACTAGGCAGGCACTCCAATATGGGATGCAGGCATCCCAAGCAGTGACTTAACAGCTGCACCAAACATTGGCTCCTGAAGTGGAAATTTAGATGTAATTGAACCATCAGCAGTTTCCATGTATAGTAAATCTTTTTGTCTTACATTTTTTACTGAAAATTCTTAATAAGCCATAAAACAAAATGTGCCTTGGGTAGCTTGATTGTTGTATCGGATATAATAATATGATACTTGTATCTGTAATGAGGCAATAATGAAATTGAAGTTCTTGAAGAACTTATATATGTCTAGAGAAATGTATTTCATAAGTCACAAGTTAAAATTCTCTTTAATTTTTATATTGCAGATTGGTTTCTCAGCAGCAGACGCAGTAACAGGACTAAAATTGGTGGAAGAGGGAGTACCCAAAGAACATTTAGCCTTATTGGCAGTTCCAATGGTTCCTTTGCAGATAATATTGCCTCTGATTATCAGCAAATACACTGCAGGTCCCCAACCACTAAACATATTTTACAAAGCCATGCCCTACAGGTAAAGATGAAATAAAACCTTAATAAACAAGAAAAGTTAAAATGGGAACCATTCATCAGGATCACTAGAGTGTTAGATGGACAAAGATTTGAGAAGTAACTTTAATTTCAATTCATTTATATATACTTTTTAAAAAAATTTTAAAGGTGTATTTATTTGAAAGAGTTACACAGAGAGAGAAGGAGAGGCAGAGAGAGAGAGAGAGAGGTCTCCCATGTGCTGGTTCACTCCCTAATTGGCTGCAATAGCTGGAGCTGCACCAATCTGAAGCAAGGAGCCAGGAGCTTCTTCCGGGTCTCCCAAAGGGACCCAAGGAGTTAGGCCATCTTCTACTGCTTTCCCAGGCCACAGCAGAGAGCTGGGTCAGAAGTGGAACAGCTGGGTCTCGAACCAGTGCCCAGATGGGAGGTTGGCACTGCAGGCTGCAGCTTCACCCGCTACACCAAAGTTCCGCCCCCATGTATACTTTTTAAAAAAAAATATATTTATTTATTATTTTAAAGTCAGAGAGAGAGAAAGAGAAGTCTTCCATCTGCTTGTTCACTCCCCAAATGGCTGCAACGACAGGAGCTAGGCTAATCAGAAGTCAAGAGCCTGGAGCTTCTTCCAGTTCTCAAGGGGCCCAAGCACTTGGGCCATTTTCCACTGCTTTCCCAGGCTATAGCAGAGAGCTGGATCTAAGTGGTGCATCCAGGACTTGAACCGATGCCCATATGGGATGCTGGCACTACAGGTGGTGGCTTTACCCACTATGCCAAAGCACCGGCCCCTATATATACTTTTTAAGCCTACTAACTAGTTTTAGGTATGGGGTTCTTTTGTATGGTAGGCACACAGATTTCTAGTTTTGTTATTTAACTAAAATGGGAGTCAACTCAATGTTCCTTTCTCTTTCTGTAGGCTGTTGCTTGGATTAGAATATGCACTGCTGGTTTGGTGGACTCCTAAAGTGGAGCATCAAGGGGGATTCCCCATATATTACTATGTTGCAGTGCTGCTGAGTTATGCTTTACATCAGGTAAGCTTACTCTGGCTTAAGGAAAGGAAATCACACAAAGGAAATTATTTGTGGGTGAACTTTAAACCTGGTGGCTTTTGACTTAATCAGTTCTGTTAATGAAAAGAGAGTTTCTTGTTCATTTTTAAAAAACTTTTAAATTTATTTAATAAGAATTTGTTACAGTTCAAAATTGATTGGAAAGTTAACTTACTCTATTGTTGCTAAGTATCCCTCAGTCTTTCCCAAGTTTGGGTTCTTCCATTCTATAATTTCTAATGTCTTTTCTTTCTGAAAATATTGAGATGTAATGATGGCTACTGGATTAGATGTCCTATGCTTCTGGCTTAGATCCTGTGTTGAAAGTTCTGACTTACTCTTTGATTCTGGGAGCTGTGTGTTAAGCTGCTTTTCATTCTTAAATATGCTTATAATACTTGAAAGAAGTAATCCCTACTTACCTGCATCCTTACCTAAGCTGCTTTTGCAGAATGAAGTTTTTGTTCTGATGCTAGTTATTCAAGCCTCCCTTGACTACTCATGGTAGATTTAATCTCTCATTTATTTATGCCCCAGTGATACAATATGTGTACTTTTATTTATAAAAATTATTGCATTTAATCATCATCATTTATTCTTTGCTTTCCCAGCCTAGAAAAAATTCTTCATTAGTACAGAGGGACTGTATCTTATTCACCTTTGCTATGATCTTGAATCCTGGCTTGTAGGTGATCAATAAAGGTCTGTTGAATTGGGTTCAGTGAAGATCATAAAAATTAATCTTTATGTTAATTTATAGTATTCTTCATTTAGACTATAGCTTTATAAGTCTAATCATGCTAAAGATGTTTTGCATTCTCCCTACAGGTTACATTGTACAGCATGTATGTTTCTATAATGGCTTTCAATGCAAAGGTTAGTGATCCACTTATTGGAGGAACATACATGACTCTTTTAAATACTGTGTCCAATCTGGGAGGAAACTGGCCTTCTACAGTAGCCCTTTGGCTGGTGGATCCTCTCACAGTAAAAGAGTGTGTAGGAGCATCAAATCAGAATTGTCGAACACCGGATGCTGTCGAGGTAAGTATGTTGTCATTTTAAATATCATAAAGCTAATGTTAAGATGCTAATTTTATTTTGCCTTTTGAAGTATTATATCTTAAGTCATATCTGCTCAAAGTTTCTAGTGTACAAATTACATAATTTTTTTCTTTTCATCATCACTAAGGCTTATAATGCATTCATGTCAACAAGACTAGCTCACTTAAAGATGCTTATAAATAAAGGAAAGGCAATCTCTCTCTCCCCTGCTTTGAGGACCACTGTCTCACATGGTAGGCACTCAATAAATGCATAAATGAAAAATTCCATTGGTTATTTATATAACAATTGTAGATAAAACTGAATGATGGGCTGGCGCTGCGGCTCACTAGGATAATCCTCCACTTGTGGCGCCAGTACACTGGGTTCTAGTCCCGGTTGGGGCGCCGGAGCCTGTCCCAGTTGCTCCTCTTCCAGTCCAGCTCTCTGCTGTGGCCCGGGGGGGCAGTGGAGGATGGCCCAAGTGCTTGGGCCCTGCACCTGCATGGGAGACCAGGAGGAGGCACCTGGCTCCTGGCTTCAGATCAGTGCAGTGCCGGCCGGAGCGGCCATTTGTGGGGTGAACCAACGGAAGGAAGACCTTTCTCTCTGTCTCTCTCTCTCTCTCATTGTCTAACTCTATCTGTGAAATAAAAAAAAAAAAAAACCTGAATGATGAGTGCTTTATGGACAAATTATTTAAAGTAATATTAGTCTACTTCTAGAGTTGGTTCTAAGGTCCATTGGAAATTACTTTACATTTCCAAATGTGGAAGATTGCATCTTAAAAATGAGTATTGTTTACAACAAGAATTGGAAATTATTTTTAATCCTTTTGGTAGCAATAGAGAGATTAAAATATATTAACATAATTTGCCCCTAGAAGTGAGTGAAATACTAAAAGAAATGTTTTAAAACTTTAGCAAAGCAGCCAGCGCAGCGGCTCACTAGGCTAATCCTCCGCCTAGCAGCGCCGGCACACCCGGTTCTAGTCCTGGTCGGGGCGCCGGATTTTGTCCCAGTTGCCCCTCTTCCAGGCCAGCTCTCTGCTGTGGCCAGGGAGTGCAGTGGAGGATGGCCCAAGTGCTTGGCCCTGCACCCCATGGGAGACCAGGAGAAGTACCTGGCTCCTGCCATCGGATCAACCCGGTGCGCCAGCCGCAGCGCGCCGGCCTCGGCGGCCATTGGAGGGTGAACCAACGGCAAAAAAGGAAGACCTTTCTCTCTGTCTCTCTCACTGTCCACTCTGCCTGTCAAAAAAAAAAAAAAAAAAAAAAAAACTTTAGCAAAGCATTAATCCTTTAAATTGCAAAGTAGAAATGTGTTAATTGCTAAATTCTTTCATTTTGAAATTGTGAAACAGTTATAATTTCATTTTCACAGCTTTGCAAAAAACTTGGTGGCTCATGTGTTACAGCACTGGATGGTTATTATGTGGAATCGATTATTTGTGTTTTTATTGGATTTGGATGGTGGTTCTTTCTTGGTCCGAAATTTAAAAAGTTACAGGATGAGGGACCATCTTCATGGAAGTGCAAAAGGAGCAATTAATGCATGAACTACTGGACATTCTAGAAAGGTAACTGTAGATTTAATTCAGAGAGCTCTGATAATCAGTGCACAGGAGTATAAAATATTATTTTAAACAAGGAATTTATTAATATAAAATGCCAAATGTTTGAAAAATAGAGACCTCTCTGTATATCTGATCACATTTTTTCCTTGCCTTGTCGATGTATTTAAAGTTTACTTAAGGTCTGGAAATTGGTTCTAAAGCAACTTTTCTGGCCTTGTTATTTGATTTATACTTTTTAAATTTACTGACCAAAGCACGTTTTAAGCTGTAATACAGTAGCCATGGTTGGTAACCATGCAGTCAAGTATTGGTATCAGTTCCTGTCATTGAGTTGTATTTCTAGCTTTGGTACTATATATTAAATGGAAGAGAGTTTGATATTCAGTGCTAACTACAACTAGTCTGACCTTACTGACAGTTAAAATTTTATTTTGAATTGTAAATTGGTTAAATTTTATGTGGAATTTGCTGAGCAATGTAAACTAATGAAACATCATTTTAGTTATTTTTCTGACCATAGCCACAGTGTACAAATGCATTTGTGTTAAAAAAACAAAAACTATTTTAAATGTATTTCCTGCTTTTGTAAGCATTGAAGATTTATAAGAAGATTATTCAAACTATTTTTTATAAAATGAAAGTTATGATTTCTAATTTATTGATTCCCCTCCTCAACACTCTTTTTTGGAAGATATTATGATTTCTTGTTAGCTTTTACCCTACAGCTTACATGTGTTTTTTTGTCATAACAGTGCTTCATGGCACACAGACAGCTAAAACGGGGATCAAATTTAGTGTTTTATGTATGTTCATGGCAAAGTTTTGGAAATAAAAATTAAGGTTATTCTGCAAGTAGTTTTTTTTTTTAATTTCTGTAGGAAAAAATAAAGCTTTCTGATTAAATTTAAATTAATAATACCATAATTTTAAAAATGAATATTTTAAAGAGAGAAACAAAGACATTTTGTGCCTTTGACAAATCATATAATGGAAGGATGTTTATTAATTAAGCACTTTACTAAGTGAAAAAGATCTCATGTTTGCACCATGCCACATCAGGTACTGTATTTCCATTTATTAAAACATAGCCTTTTGGTTGTAAACTATAGTTTCCAGGAAAAATTGCTATCCCAGGAAAATTAAACTTTTGAGTACTTCAGCAATTTTCAGCATAGTATATATATCAGTGATAAGGTTTTTTTGCATATTTTGCATTATTCATTACTCTAACTATTTAGAGATTACATAAATCCACCAGAAGTTAGAGAAAAGACTGTTATAAATCTTAATAATTTTGTCTTTGTGGGAAAATACATACTAATTCCTGATTTTGTTAATTTTATAACATAGGTTGGATTTTAGAGTGGGGTTTTTCTAAGTAATGAAGGATAAAATGGGTGGGAGAAAATGGCGCACAGCATCTGAAGAAAGATAGGGGCTGTGGCCTCTAGAAGTCATGCACTGCCATTGGAAAACCTGTATTGGGCACCGATATCAGATCCTGAAGAATCACCTGGAGTAACACTCATCCTAGAGACAAGGAAACCACAGCAAACAAACCAGAGACTACAGTACTTTGTTACATGGTTTTCCATTATCATGTATTATAATCAAAATGTTTACTTGAATAAAGAAAAACCCACTAAACACTCATTTGTAAAATGAACTTTGCTTTTTAATTTTTCAATTAGGAAGCTCAGATTGTTATCTTTTATTTCTTTAATTTCATCTTTTCACAAATTAAACATACTTTCAAATAGCTTTAAGCCTATATATCTTTAATGGCATGAATTTTTTCTTTTAAAAAAAGGTTTATTTATTTGAAAGAATGACAGAGAGCGAGTGAGAGAGAGAAAGAGAGAGAAAGACCTTCCATTCAATGGTTCACTCCCCAGATGGTCACAGAAGCCAGGAGGAGCTTCATCACTTCTCCCATGTGGGTGAAGGGACTGAAGTACTTGGACCATCTTTCTGCTGCTTTTCCCAGGCCATTAGCAGGGAGTTGGATCAGAATTGGATTAGCTGGGACTCGAAGCATTGCCCATGTGGTGGTGGCATCACTGGTGGTGGCTTTACCCACTATACCAAAACACAGGCCCTTTAATGATTTTAAACCTTTACCTATAACATGAAAGCCATTGATTCTATTTTCTGTAGAAATTAGCAAAAAATATTTTTAATTGAAGTCATTGGTAATTTGAGGCCATGTTTGTAGTGCATGTTAAAAAAGACTTAGTAGCCGGCACCGTGGCTCAATAGGCTACTCCTCCGCCTTGCGGCGCCAGCACACCGGGTTCTAGTCCCGGTCGGGGTGCTGGATTCTGTCCCGGTTGCCCCTCTTCCAGGCCAGCTCTCTGCTGTGGCCCGGGAGTGCAGTGGAGGATGGCCCAAGTGCTTGGGCCCTGCACCCCATGGGAGACCAGGATAAGCACCTGGCTCCTGCCTTCAGATCAGCGCGATGCGCCGGCCGCAGCGGCCATTGGAGGGTGAACCAATGGCAAAAGGAAGACCTTTCTCTCTGTCTCTCTCTCACTGTCGACTCTGCCTGTCAAAAAAAAAAAAAAAACAAACAAACAAAAACTCAGTAGCTGTGTTGCACACATTGATCACCAATGACATTTAAAAGTGATTTCCTTGGAAATCAGTAGTACCCTGTTTGTTTTTCTTGATTGATTAATCCTAATAAACTCTACCTTCAAATATGGACATTAATTCCTTCAGTAAACGCATTGTATATTTACTGGCTAATATTAGACTGAACATATATATGTGTGTATATATATATATATTTATGTCAGTATCTCCATGTGCACATTGGTTACAACATGTATATGTATGAGTTTGAAAAGTTCTCACTAGATTAGCTAAGCCTCAATTCAAAAACTCCCTCTGGGGCCGGCCAGCACTGTAGCATGGTTGGTAAAGCTGCTGCCTGCAGTGTGGGTATCCTATATGGGCCTGGTTCAAGTCCCAGCTGCTCCACTTCCAATCCAGCTCTCTGCTATGGCCTGGGAAAGCAGTGGAAGATGGCCCAAGTCCTTGGGCCCCTGCACCTGTGTGGGAGACCCAGAAGAAGCTCCTAGCTCCTGGCTTCGGATCAACTCAGCTCTGGCCATTCTGGCCAATTGGTGAGTGAACCAGTGATGGAAGACCTCTCTCTCTCTCTCTCTCTCTCTCTCTCTCTCTCTCTCTCTCTCTGCCTCTTCTTTCTCTCTATGTAACTCTGACTTTCAAATAAATAAATAAATCTTCTAAAACTCCCTCTGATGTAAATATTTTAGTTTTGCCTGATGAGTCATAATTTTGACACCTTCAGTAGATTTTTCCAGAGTTCTTTTATATTAAACTTTATTGCAAAGGGTTTATCCTAAACAGATGTCATTGCAGCCCTAAGACCTCTGAATTGTTTGCAAACCTTGAATGGCTATAATCCAAAGAAACATAAAAACTGCGGCATTGAATATAAGTTGCACTGTGAATTGCATCATAAATCTGAAATAAGAGTTTAAAATTACTTGAAGTATCCTGAAAACTACTAAAAGAGAAATCTATGATGAAAACTGGAAAATTGCTGTATTTGTAGTATTGACAGTGAAGAAATTAGCGTACATAAGACATTACTGGTAACAGAGACTTAGGATAAATTATATTCCACAGAAGACAAATCTTAGTCATTAAACACTTTTTTTTTTTTTGCCTTGTTAACAGAAACCCAGAAAAATAAGTTTGTTTCACTTTACATTAAGTGGTCCATCACTACTTAATTTAACAGATGACCACATTTGTTTTGTATTTTGGAGGATCATTTTTTTTTTAGCAGTTGAATAAGTAAAGCTATATGATACAGACCTTACTAAAAGTGGAGAAACAGGGTCCAGCATTGTGGCACAGCAGGCTAAGTTGTAGCTTGCTATGCAGGCATCATGTATTGGAGTATGGGTTCAAGTCCCAGCTACCCTGCTTTTGATCCAGCTTCCTTAATGTGCCTAGGAAAGCAGTGGACAATGACACAGGTACTTGGGCCCCTTGCCACCCACCCATGTGGGAGACCAGGATGGAATCCCTAGCTCCTGGCATCTACCTGGCCCAGATCTGACTTTTGTGGCCATTTGAGAAGAAAACCAATGGATAGAATGTATTTCTCTCTGTGTCTCTCCCTATCTCTTTGCCTTTTTAATGTTAAAAGAAGAAATGGCTTATTGAAACCATTCCCTGCATTTTCTCAAAATGAATTTTACCTGAGTTTTAGAGAAAGAAAAACTTTCAAAACAATAACAGCTAAGATTAATATATTTAATGAGAACCATTTTAGTTACAGAAGGGAAGGTGATATTATTTTACGTTGTAACTGCTGAAACTTTATAACCAATATGTTTGGTACATAGCAAGCCTAACTTTAATTAACTTGATTTTCTCTAGAAGACTTAAGATACTTTATAGATCATATTCTTTCTACTTGAGCTTATAAATGGGTGATTTGACCATGGTATATTTAATGTGACTATTTGATTTGAGACAGAGCTGATCAAAATTGCTATGTGAGTCTTCATTTTACTCCTGTAATGTGTTGACAGGGGAGAGTGGGCATGGAGAGCATTTAGCTTTCTGGAATTCTGTTTTGGTGGATGCAGGCCCTATATCAGGGCAGACTATTGTAGAGGATTCATGCCCTGTCCCAGAAGTGACTAGAAACTTTTCATTTCACTATTGGATTATAAAGATTGCTTTTAACGAAGTTTGTTTTATTGTGAAGGAGAGAAGTGGACATTTTGTAGGAGAACATAGTTTATGTAGCAGAATGAAAATTATTTGATTAATTATGACATTTACTCTCTAAAAAAATTGACCCAAACATGTTAAAATATCAGCTGTATTGGGGGTTCCAAAATGGTAGAATAGAGACAATGGTATGATTTAGGCTGGCCAAAACTAATATTTAAAAAGTGGAGACAGTACACTCTCAGGATAAAGCTGCAGGGGAACTGCGGTGGGAGATCTGTGAAAGCAGTAGAAACGGCCCGGACCTGTGCAGAAGAGTAGACACGCAGCAAAAGACCCAGCAGCTTGGATCCAGGGAGGAAGGCGCCTGCCCTGCCAAACGAGGTGACACTTGGACTCTATGGGCCCACACCGCCATTGATACAGTGGGAGGGAGAGCTTAGTGGCTATACCTTTTTGAGTCTGACCAGGATCCTGCAGCACAGTGGAGTGACTGCTCACCCAGAGGCGGGAAGGGGATGGGGGGGAGTGGCTTGTCTCTCCCTTGCTACAACAGAGACCTGCAGCCGGGGGTGGAAGTGCTGGCTCCATTTTTGGACATGAGTAGATAACAGCCACCCCACCTTGTGTGCATGCACCCAGCAATTATTGGGGTCACCCTCCACCCAGTAGTTCAGGAGCAACCGAGGGAGATGCTCTCCACCACGCCAGCTGCACCCCCCCCAGAATTGGAGGGGAGAGGGAGCCCCATACCTACAGAAGGGAAGTGCTGCCTGCAGGACTCCCCTATGCTGCCAGCACAATTGTGAAGCAAGTGGGGCTGCGGCTGGCATGTATCTTGCACACCTGTGAACCACAGATCTTACCAGAGAAAAACCTGTGTTCCCCACTGACATCGAGTTCAGTTGGGAGGACTGGACTCGATTTAGCGGGCTGGAACACACATGGACAGCAGCTCTGGGAATACCTTAGTTTCTTGCAAACAGGATGGGCTAGTGGGGCGGAGTGGCCCCATTGGCAATTCTTGACCCTGAGAGCCCTGGGAGTTGAGACTAAGAAAACATGACTGCATGAGAGGAGGCAGGGTGTAGCTGGGTTCTGACAATCACAGAGTGCTTCTGCACTCTCAGAGCTCCTTGGTTGCCTAGAGCAGCTTGTAGCAGAGGCAACCATGCTCACAGGAAGGACTCTGCAGATCATATGTGCTGTTCATATGATGGTCTAGATGAGTGTTGAACACTGCAGACTAACACCTGGTCACTCCTCAGCTTGGAAGAAAAGGGGCAGTTACACCATTGGAGGTGACCATTCCTCTCCATCCAGTTAACCAGAGGAGAGTTACCAGGTTAACTTGGGTGTTACCCTGGATACTCACCCCATCCTGGAGCATGGAACAGAGCTTGGTGGTCATACCCACCATACACTCTTGGTATTCACTGAAGTTTATAGCAGTTAGTGCCTATATCAAGAAACTGGAAAGTCACCAAATAAATGAGCTATCAGTGTATCTCAGTGATCCAGAAAAACAACAACAAACCAAACCCTAAATTAGTAAGATGAAAGAAATAATTAAAATTAAGGAAGAAATAAACAAAATTTAAAAAATACAAAAGATCAAAGAAATGAAGACCTGGCTTTTTTGAAAAAATAAACAAAATAGACACACCATTGGCCAAACTAGTCAAAAAAAAAAAAAAAGACCCAAATCAATAAAAGCAGAGATGAAAAAGGAAATGTAACAATAGAAACCACAGAAATGAAAAGAATCATCAGAAATTACTACAAAGAGCTGTATGCCAACAAACTGGGAAACCTAGAAGAAGTGGACAGATTCCTGGACACATACAAATTACCTAAATTGAGCCATGAAGACATAGAAAATCTAAACATATGGAACCAAGACAAAAATTGAATCAGTTATAAGGACCCTCCCA